AACAAAGCCTCTATGAGTATTAGTGTACAGTAGTGCCCCCATTTGTGGTTTTAGTCACCTACAATTCCTTACAATAAGATATTTTCAGAGAGAGACCACATTCACATAACATTTATTACAATATATTGTTATATTTTATTATAAGTCATTGTTGTTCATCTTTTGCTATGTCTAATTTATAAACTAAATTTTATCATAGGTATATATGTATAGGAAAAAATGTATATAGAGAGTTTAGTATTATCTATGGTTTCGGATGTCCACTGGGGGTCTTGGAACATATTCCTTGAATATAAGGGGGGAACTATACAGTATATATCTTTGGGGCATATACTTTTTATTCTTCTAGGATAAATACTTAAGAGTGAAATTGCTGAGTCATATGTTTACCTTTATACAAAACTACCAGTTTTGAAAGTTGGTTGTACAATATATGAGGCTTTATGTTGCTTGAAATTATTGCCAACCTTGTATTGCCTGACTTAATTTTAACCATTGGGTGCATGGTGGTATGGTTTTAATTTGTATTTTTCTGATGACTATTTAATTTGAACATCATTTTATGTGCTTTTTGGTTATTCATTTATCTTCTTTTGAGAAGTGTCTGCTAAACTCTTTTTCTATTTTTTATTGACTTGTTTGTCTTATTAAGCTATGTTATATTAAATTATAAGAATTTAAAAATATACTTTGAATATAAATTCTTCCTCAGATCTATGTATTACAAATATTTTTTTCCTCATCTCCCTTCTTCCCTTCCTCCTCTTCTTTTCCCTTCTCTCCCACTTTCCCCTTCTCCTCTTCCTTCTCTTTTTTTCTGTAGAGCCTCACTCTGTCACCTAGGCTAGACTGCAGTAGCATGATTACAGCTCACTGCAGCCTCAACATCCTGGGCTTAAGCACTCCTTCTACCTCCTCCCGAGAAACTGAGAATACAGGCTACTGCCCAGCTAATTTTAAAAAATATTTTTGTAGAGGCATGGTCTCACTCTGTTGCTCAAGTTGGTGTCGAACTCCCTGTGCTCAAGCAGTCCTCCTGTCTTGGCCCCCCAAAAGGCTGAAATTACAAGTGTGAACCACTATGCCCAGTCTTTAAAAAATTTTTTTTGTAGAGGTGAGGTCTCACTATGTTACCTAGGATGACATTTTCTTAATGGTATTTTTTCAACGGCAGACATTTTGGATTGTGACATTAAATTTATCAATTTTCTTTTCATCATTTGCCTACTCAATGTTGTAAAAGTTTCTACTGTGTCCTCATCTGTAAAATGGGGGGAGTATGAGAGTTAATGAGTTAATATAGGTAAAGTACTTTGAAAATGCTTTCCATCTAGTAAGGACTACATAATGTTAGTTGCTGTTATTGTAACTACAACTTCTTTACTCTGAAGTTACTGTTGAGGTTTTTAGATGCTGGCAGTACATCCCTGTCGCATCTCTGTTCCTCTTGAAAAAATGTCATTGCCATTTTCTTTAGGGGTCTTTTGTTGAAAAATATAAAAAGACCAAAGATAAGATTTACTATGCATGTTGAAAAAAGGATATCCTAATATTCTGTTTAGGGGATAATTTGTATTAGATGCTGCCATTTTATAATCACAGCAATTTACCAGTTACTCTGTTTCTTTTCATATGTGATATTTTGATGAGATTTACAGGGATTTTTGTCATTTCCCTCCCTCAGAAGGCCTAAAGACCCACCATAAATGTCATCATTTTCCTCTTCTAAAGAAGGCTGAAGATCCAAATATTCTCACTCTCTGTGGTCATCAACTCTGATATTGACTTCCACTGTGCTTTACATACACCTTACATGTCTTCCAGTGGATTCTGGAAAATGACATTTCAGAGGGTGGTGGTGTTGTCATGTTTTACTAAAGATAGCTTAGAGGCTGGATTCTAATTCTGGTAAATTAGCTAGATTAAAATATTATGGACATAATTAACATGGAAGCAATAATAGTTATATCAAATGGAGTTTCATATGACTATAAACTAGGTCAAGACAAGATGTTCTTCTTAAAATACATTACAGTCTGAAGATGGTGCACTGTAACCCTTCAAGACAGTCTCAGAGATGGAGATATTGTCCCGGTTCTGTTCTCTGTTGTTTTGAACAAATATTTAATCAGTTGTTATCATTATCTTCCTGTTTGTAGAGTGGGAGATATACTATCTTCCTAGAAAAATAGTATTAGCAATGGAATGATTAATATGTAGCAAATTATATATAGTGTTTAGTATTATTTTTAGTCTATAATCCAGGTTCTATTGATCTATTTTCTATGTATTTGTTTGTTTGTTTATTTATAGTTGGAGTCTTCCTTTGCCCAGGCTGGAGTGCAGTGGCATTTTCACAGCCACCCTAGTGCGCACTCTACCACACCGAGCTAATTTTTCAATTTATTGTAGAGATGAGGTCTCACCAAGTTGCCCCGTATGTTCTTGAACCCGTGGTCTCAGGCAATCCCCTCACTTCACCCTCCCAAAGTGCTGTGATTACAGGCTTGAGCCACCATACCTGGTCTGTTTGTTTATTTTTTATTTTAAAGATGTGCGGTGCAATTCAAGATTAGGCATACAAGTGGTCATATTGATCTATTTTCTAAAGGTATTCTCACTATCTGTGCCCTCCTTAGCTCTATATCAGCTACCAGGCATTTCCAAAGTTTAGCACAGTACCTGGCAAGAGAATAGGCATTTGGTAAGAGTATGATGAACCACATTTTCTATTTTACAAAAACTTTACTTATGATGATTAGGATTTAGTTAGTCAAAGAATAGGGAAAGGGCATTTCCAAACAGAGAGGATATCGTCAAAGACTGTAAGAAATAGAAGAACTTGATGCATTTGAGGAACCAAAAGACAGGCTCATTTTGGCTGAGCAAGTAGTGTTAATGCATTATACAGATGAGGAAACCGTGGATATACTAAGGTCACCAAGTTAATAAATGGGAGGTTCTAGATTCAAACTTCGAACTTTCTGAGTCCTTAGTGTTCTTTCCTTATACTTTGACATTCTCTAGTAAAAATCTGAACCAAACCTATCCAAGTGCTGGTATTTTGTTTCTATTTCAGCTCTACAGGGCATTCTCTTAACCATTTAGTATTATTTAGTGAAGGAGATATGTGTATATGGAACCACTGCTGTCAACAGAAAGGGAATAATTGACTTGGTACTAGATAGAGATGCTTCCATTGAATTTGTGTCTTTGAAAACTGATTTTGGCTGGGCTCAGTGGCTCAGCCTATAATCCCAGCACTTTGGGAGGCCAAGGCAAGTGGATTGCCTGAACCCATGAGTTCTAGACTAACCCGGGCAATTTGGTGTGAGACCTTGACTCTACAATAAATCAAAAATTAGCCGTGCGTGGTAGTGCGTGCTGGTAGTTCCGGCTACTTGGAAGGCTGAGGTGGAAGGATTGCTGGAGCCTAGCAGGTCGACAGTAGGGTGGCCGTTGAGTGTGCCACTCCACTCCAGCCTGGGTGACAGAGTGAGACTCCAACTAAAAAAAAGAAAAAAAGAACTGATTTTAGCATTTACTTGACTCAAAGGATTTGTGAGACTCCAGAGTTGTCAGTGTTCTGTGGTATCCACTATCTGTATTAATCTTTGGATTTTTCTGTGTTTTGCCAGTGGAACATTACAATTCTCAAAATTGGTAGCATGCATCCTATACTCTGCTTTATTTATTTTTATTTAATAGTACAACAGTGTAAACTTGGCCCACCTCTAGCAAATGTTTAAGTTAATGTTTTACCAAATACACAAATTTCTTTTGGCAGTTGATTTCCAGGCAGCTGATAAAACATTGAAGTGTTAGGTGTTTTTGATTTTGTGTTATTTTATTCACTTTGATGTGGATGTGGATGGCATAGGGAATGAGAAGTTGTTATGGTACAAAGGCAAAATTGGAAAGGTTGAGGTTTTTTCATTGGGTTTTGTTTGTTTGTTTTTCCAGAGAATATTCTCTATCACCCTAGAGTGAACCGTCTACATCCCAGGATATGCCAGCCTTCTTGCCCAATAACCTTAAAAAATTTCTATGTCCTGTCATACCTGTGCTATGTGTTCTGACTACATGGTAACTTGTTAGCATAGAGATCAATTTTAGTTTTATTTATTTTTTAAGTTGGGGATCTCACTCTGTTATCCAGGCTGTAGTGCCGCATGATCATGGCTCACTGCAACTTCAGCCTCCTTCACTCAGGCAATCCTCCTGCCTCAGCCTCCCAAGTAGCTGGGGCTACAGGTGCATGCCATTATGCCCAGCTGATTTTTTGAATTTTTTTTGGTAGAGATGAGTTCTCACTATGTTATCTAGGCTGGTCTTGAACTCCTGGGCTCAAGTGATCCTCCTGCCTCAGCCTCCCAAAGTGTTGGGGTTACAGATGTGAGCCACTGCCCCTGGCCTTAGGGTATTTTATATAAGGAGACTTCTCTGGTGCTGCCTCCTTTTGCCACCTGATATAGTCATGGTGTTAGGTTTTTTGAAGAACTTTTACCTCTCTATTCTTTTCTTCTCAATGTTCTTTTCATTAAGAATGATGATTATAAAATGAAAGAGTGAATTTAATTCTTTGGTGAATTTTTGTATTCATGAAGTTTTTCATTTGTGATTTTATATGTTGCCCCTCTCAATCTGAGGAAGGAAAACTGTTCATAGGATTAATTTAAGGTACTGATTTTTCTTGTACTGAAATTCTTAAATTTGGTTTTGTGGATATTTTGGTTGAATGGGAACTGTACAATTAAGCTTTTTATGACTCAGGGTTTGGGGATATTACATGCCAAATTCTTGCTTTTTAATTTTCTAAAATATGGTTTTATTATTAAGAAGAAGAAAAACGTTTAGTTGAGAATATTTTGCATCATTAAGAAAACATTTTATATTTTGCATAAATAAAATTTTCAAAGTATAATTCATTTTATGATGTTCTCTACCCCCTTCAACATTTATCTGTTTCTTTAAATGCCTTCTCTGTTTCTTGTTGGCAGGCAGCTATCAATGGTGTAATACCCCAGGAAAATGGCATTCTACAAAGGTATGTTATAAAGTGTTTACTGTAAGATGACAGTTTAGCAAGGGAATAAAGGGAAAATTGTTACTATTTTTGGTTTCATTTTTTAATAGAGCATTTGATTTTTGGTATGTGAGTTCACTAATATAGTCTTTGTTCTCACAGATATTTTTATTAATTAATTCCCTAAAGTCTCCAACATTAAAATGTATAATATTATTGCAGATTGGGTGATACCATCTTTTAAGGTAGTTTAAAAAGCTTTTTGAGGCTATCTTCTGATTTATAAGATAAAAGGAAGTGAATTCTTTGGACTCTTGACAACCCTAGAGTATGGTTATCATCAAACTATACAGGCTTTATCTCCAAGCTTACTAGTCTATTTTTTCCTCCCTTTTGGTTTCTAAATCAAGTATTTGATAACTTGGAATAATTTGAGTAAGTTCTTAATGATGAACCTTCCCAGAGCACTGAACTATTTTACCTGAAGAATCTATTGTTAACAAGTGGAATGGTTTTAGTGGTATGTCATGGCCAGAAGGTAAAATTGGGAGATGGAACTGAGAGAACTATAATAGTTACAACATAATTCTTTGAGTTAAAAATGAATTCATAACTTTTCTTTCCTTAAAATTGGGAACTCTGGTTCTGGAGAAAATAACACACTATAAAGTCATAGGAGGTAAAATAATTCTTCTTTCCAAATGTAGTTTAATTACTTGTTTTTCCCCCTCTTTCCTCTCATTTCAAAATTTGGCTTGAGTTTAAGTGCCTGGGATTTCTAAGTCACTGAAGCATGATCTGCTAAGTGCAGATGAGATAAACAGAAACAGACTAGGAGTGAGGTTGTTTTGGTGAGGAAGAAAAATGCTCTTGCAAAAACATAAAAAAATTCATCATAAACTACAAAATGTGGTATATTTTATAGGGAACTGTGTTTTTGGGAGGAAAGCAAAATTCTGTTTGGTACCTATACCACCTTTAATGATTAATGGTTTTTAGGGGAAAGCAATGATAAACAGACCTACTCCCCAGACCCCTCTTTTTAAACTGTCAGAAAGATATCCAGAGTAAATGTGGCTGATTTCCAGAGTCTTTACCAACTTTTTTTTTTTTCCTTCAAATGCCTTCTAGTCTATTGAAACCCTTGTCTAGAAAGCAAATCAGATGATTATAGAAACTTCTTTCATGGTCATTTTTTTCTCTTGGTTTAGAAATTTTTAGATTATTAAATATCACTTCAACTAAATTTTTGAGTGTTATTACCGCTTGAGTGTTATTTTTGAGTGTTATAAACCACTTTGAATATTATTACCACTTTGAGTGATATTTTTGAATATTGTGCCAAATTTTTTGCTGTGCTAAAACCTTGTGGTGTCAATCACTAGGTTCTGAGTATATATGAATGTATCTTCCAATTAATAGCATTTGCTATGGGTGAACTCTGGAAATTGCCTCTCTTCTAGAAACATTTCATCTTTCCTGTCACAGATGATACTTTTTGTTTAATCTATTTTATGGCTAGAAATTCAAGGTTAACTATTTCCTTCCTAACTTTGTTCTTAAGCTTTGAAATCACTGTGGATTTAATGTCACTGAAAATTTCTAGTGTGTCTACTGTCCACTGGAAAATGAAAGAGGACTTTTTGTGTACTCTCCCATAGACTTAGCACTGAAAGCAGGAAGGTACAATACTAAGAATGGTGTATGTAGGCAGTTAAAAGGATCCTTGCTTTATGTGTTTGGTTTTTATAATAAAGTTGAATATAGTCTGTATATACAGTTGACTCTTAATTTGTCAGTTCATACCTTAACAAACAAAAGAAGTATCAAATACTATGATTTAAAGAAATACTGTATAATACAGTATTCTTATGGGATATTGAACTTTTTGATAGGAAATAATTAAGTACCCACAGCACTGGTACATGTGTTGGTACTTAATTCCTTTTACTAAAGGTTATTTTTAAAAAACATATCCCAATTATATGTAATATAAAGGAGATTAAAAAAATTTTTTTTTGCGAGAGAAGAACCAATATGTGCTTTATGGCTGTTCTTGAAATCAGACTTTTTGTGAATCTAAAAGAGGTAATACGATTTTTGATATATTCATGAAATCTAAGAAAAAGAAACTAACATTTTTTGAATGCTTAAGGCATTGTGGTAGGCAGTTGACTTATTTTTCTCATTTAATACTTACTATATTCCATAAGAGGTAAATGTTCATATTTCACATATGTTGAAACTCATTATTAGAGAGTTTACATAGACTTATCCAAAGTCACAAGTATAGCAATAGGTGATGGAGTCTAGATTGTCTAGTTTTAAAAGCCATGCTCTTTCTTCTTCAAGATACTACTCTGTCTTCTTCAGGATCAGTAAGCTGGGCATAAATTGTGTGTGTGTGTGTGTGTGTGTGTGTGATTCTCTCATAGCTTTATTTTTTATTTATATATAAGTATTATGTATTATTTATATATATCTGTGCATTGTGTGTGTATGTGTATGTGTGTGTGTGTATGTGTGTGTGTGTGTGTGTGTGTGTGTATAATGTCTTTCTCCCACAGCTTTAATTTGTTACAGTTACAGTTTAGTTGTAGGCTAGTAAAGGCAGATATTATTATTTGTCAATTTATAGGTAGAATAAATCATAAAGTGACTTGACTCACACAATGCACCATGCTAATGGAGTCCAGAATATAAGCAAGTCTTTTGACTCTGTCTCCAGGGCTTATTTTACTACAGTATATTGCTAACAAAATTTATTTATAGTGTGTGTAACTCATGCAGTCATAAATGTAAACCATTCAATCATAAAAAAATCGAGTATGTATGTTTACTATCTTGGTCTAATATTTATTTATTCAACATGTTTCCAAGAGTCTCTTTAAAAATCACTTAAAAATCTAAATTGGTAGAAAGAAGTGTTAATACTAGTAGAGAACTGATGCTATATTTTCTAAAAATAAACTTTATACATTAATAGTGTAAGTTTAGTCATTCATTAAGTGGGTGGTATTTATTAACTCATATTTATTTTAAGACCCAGGCAGGAGTTTAGTATGCTCATTTGTTCATTGTTAATGCATTGAGAAAACCTAGAGAAGGCAGTTTGTTTTCAGGCCTTGATCATTATGCTTTTACAATATGTAAATGCCCAGAGGTTCTGATTTAGAAAATACCCATTTTAGCCAATTGGTTTCTATGTACAGTATTTTTTTTTTTCTAATTTCCATTTAAAAAATCGGATTCATGAGTTTATCTCTAAAATGTGTATGGCTTTCTTTGAGGGGGTTTCTCAAAGATTTTGCCATGGGATGGACTTTTAAAAATTGAAATAATAAACAAGTACAGGATTCCTGTTTACTTTGCTTTTTGCTCATTGTCTTCTAAGAGCCTGAGTGCTTTGTAGAGGAAAGTTGAGTAAGCATAAAAGCACTCCTTTAGTTGAAGTTTTTGATCTAAAATAGATTTCTCCATAGAGATGCCAAATAAGTGTCTTTTCATTTTTGTGTTTCTTAGTTTCCTGAGTAACTGGGACTACAGGCACATGTCACCATACCAGACTTCCAATCACCGACTTTTTTTAAGAAAAATTATTGATTAAATAGAAAAGAACATGAAATCATGTTATAAAATTGTAGTTTTCATAGATGGAAAATTTTAAAAATACACTTTTCCTTCTATGAGTCAATAGTTTTGGATGCTTTTGCATTCTTTGGATGTCATTGAACATTAGTGAAAACTGATGGGATCATACATTAACTGATAGGATCTCTTCCTTTCATTCTTTGGATTGCTAGTGAAAAATTCCTCATTCAAAATTTAAGTTCACTATTTTTTATTTATCTTGAAATAAAGTAATTATAACTAATAAAAAAATTCCTAGGTGATTTAAAAAAAAATATCTTAGTGGTGGGCAAACATACCAAATAGTCTGCTCTGATTTAAAATGTTATATTAACTCTTAGAATTAGAACTTGGAAAGGGGAAAAATAGAAGTTCTAGAAATTTTTTTTCCCTTAGTAAATTCTTTAAAAAAATTTTTTTTATTATAAAGATGTGGGGTACCATTCAGGGTTAGGTATACAAACATTGATCATGCAGGTGCCCCTGTTGATGAGATATGCCCCTCCCTCCCCTAGCAGTTTCCCTCAACTGCCAATCCTCCCCCCACAGTTTCCCTTGACTGCCAATCACGTTCTTATAGCATTATAATTGTTCAAAGTCATCTTATGAGTGAGAATATATGGAACTCCGTTCTTTGTTTCTGTGATAAATCACTGAGTATGATCAACTCCAAATCCATCCAGGTTGCTGCAAAGTCCATATATTTGTTGTTCTTTATGGCTGCATAATATTTCATTGTGTATATGTACCACATTTTGTAAATCCAGTCCAGCTTTGATGGGCAACATGGTTGGGTCCATGTTTTTGCTATAACTGATTCTCTATGTAAAATTTTGTTAAAATTTCTAGAATGAAGCTAACATTAGTTCTAGGAATTTTAACAGAATTTTACATAGAGAATCAGTTATGTAGAAATGGTAAAGGTTGAAAGACCAAAAAAGGGATACTAAGACAACTCAGATGTAATGACTGCAGGAAGCAGCTGGACCATTAAGCCCAGATGGGGGGTTTCTTCTTCTGGTTGGTGAGGCTCAGGGCAAGAGCATACTTCTAACTGCTGTGTCCTTTAACAAGGGTAGGCAGAGCTTGGGTCAGTGGTACAATAAGGGAAGGAAGGTCAAGATTCCAGGTCAAGAATCAGTGGCTAGAACAAGCCTACCAGGGAGAGCCCCCTGCTGACTACAAAGGGCACAAAGGAATGTGCTAGAGGAACTGAGGGAAGAGGTTGGTAGAGGTTGAGTTTAGCGGTACCTTGAAGCTCAGAGTAAGGGCCTTTGGAACTTGGCCCCAGACATATGAAAAGGAAGTCCTGCTCAGCTGATACTGGTAGCTCTGTCAGGATGCAAAGACGCTTGTGCAAAAGATGCTGAATAAGCTAGAAGGTATTATCA